ACTGGTCGTTTGCTTGTGCCACAAACCTGAAACCCATAGAACAGCTGTACAAGAGAGCTATCAAGGTGTTTGACAGAAAGCCACATTCATACCACCACTGTGCCATCCTTGAAAAACACAATTTCTTGAGCTTTGACAATTTTAAGTCTTTTAAAAGTATGTGCTTTATTTATAAATGTTTACATGGACTGCCCCCCCCCCCCCCCCCCTTAGGGGAATTCATCCACAAAAGAGACACTGGACGCTACACTAGGTCAGAAACCAGAGGAGACTGTGAAGTCCACCGCAGACGGACCACTTTTGGACAAAATGTCCTCTCCATTAAAGGCAGCTCACTCTGGAATAGCCTCCCAACTGAGATACAGGATTGTCCCACTCTCAATAGTTTTGAAGGTCAACTCAAAGAATGGTTGAGAAACAAACAGACGTGCAATCACCGCTAAATGCACTTTAACACAGGGGTATCTTCTCTTGCACTTTATATGTCGTTGCTGCTATAGTGTACTACCATGTCATAAATACTTGTGTATGCTGCTCTTGCTCTTTTGCATATCATGTATTTGTCTTTGCCATATGTATAAATGTCGTGTTCTTAAATGTTTTGTGAGGGACTGCGGATGGAAATTAGCTCCAAGCTAAAATACGGCATATTTACATTTTCTTGTTTTAAGTGTTCATTAATGTGCATTGTCCCCGCTAAATAAACGATTAAATGAAAATGAAGATATGAATTGCCATTTTTTTGTATCACACTTTGAACTCAATGAACTCAAAGTGAATTGGCTCCAGCTAAGCCTTCTTCTTCGTCTCCAACTAACAAAAGCTACTGTCCCCTGCTGTCCAGCTCTACTCGGCTGTAACACTTCACTCCCAAAGGGCTGCAGGTCAGCAAGCATACATGCCAAGAGAGGCTGATTTTGACACCTCAAACTGGGCCAGTCAAATCAACCCCCTGTCTCGCGCACACCATAATCACACTACACCGTACAATTAGAAAAGTCGGTCTTTTCATTTTTTGTTTCCTTTCATGTAAAGCCAAAGGGACATTCTGCATAATAAGAGGAACATGGTATTTATACTAAGATACTGGTGAGCTGTTCTTCTTGTTTTTTGCATGAGGAAAGTAATCTAATCTTGAGGAACCATAAATGCGGATTGTAAAGGCTAATAATTGTGCCCTGCAAGTGATTGCGGAGCAGGCATTTTTAGATAAAAGCAGGGGCAGCACATGTGAAGCGTGTGGTTTGGTAGACGAAGAAAACTACAGCATTGTAAAGAAAAGTTTTTTTTTTTATGGGTATCAGCCTTTTAGCTAAGGAGAGTCATTTAAATAGTTTTATTACATAAATACCAAACTAGAGTTAAGGTAAATAGTGTCACCTCTACAAAGCTCGCATCTTGTTCACAATGTGTTCATTTAAAAAGCATGTTTTTATGTGTTGGGTTTTATTTTTTTTCTGCTTCCATTTGTATTCTATAGCTATGGATATATCACAGTTTCATATTTTCATTTGTTATCTGTTGAATGAGTGAGTTGTTTTTACTAGTATTGTCTGTTTCATCTTTGAAGTACTTTAAGACAAACTCCAACCAGCCACATTAACAGCAATAAAGAACCTCCCACATATCAATACCATTATTATTATTATACTAGAGCTGAAAACAAAATAAACTTCAGCAAGAAAAATTGTAAATCCAAAGCCTGAATGTTCATAGCAAAATAGAGTCCTCCTGTATTGTTATTTTTCGTCAGGAAACAAAAGCACATCTTTGGAGGAATTCAAGCCATTGTGATGCGAACCCTCTTCTGTCCACTATAAATACCCTGTGACTGTCAAGGTGCCATGCCAGGAGCCGCAGCTTGATAAGGCAGCTCTCCAGAGAACAGGCAATGTTCGGAGATAACCAAACTCCCAACAAGCTTATCTCTCCACTCTACAAGATTGAGTCATACTTGTTATCTCTGCCCACCCCCGAAGGCTGTGGTGATTGTAAGCAGCACTGCTCTCACGTGTCCAGTTCCGCTCACTTCAATAAAGCAAGAAATCTGCATCTGTGGTTTCATTTGCATTTTATGATTCATGCTGATGCTCCTGATGTTATGTCATAGGAGGTTTAACATGAGGAATAATGGTATGAGTGGAAGTATATTTAGTATCGACCACAAAAAAATCTATTTGTATACTATGAAGCTAAAACAATTAAGCTTTTAATTAATCAATACAGATTAAATCAATCAGAACCTACTGTGATAACTGATGAATTGTTTCACTTATTTATCAAGCAAAAGTGTCAGAAATCACTGATTATTGAATGTGACTATTTGATGCCTTTGTTTATCGTATTTTTAAATAAAAAGAATGATTTGGGATTGGTATCAAAAGAACACATTTGAAGATGTTAACATGGGAGATTGTGAGGGGATTTTTTCCCCCCATTTTATAGATTGTATCGACAAATCAAATAATCAATAACATTGAGAAAACAATGATTTATTGAAGGGTGTAGATGTAATTCACTTTAAATATTGTGTTTTCCTCAAAGCACAACAATATGAACAAAGTTATTAAATTAAAAATAAATAATATATTAATTAAAATAATGTGATTTATGTAAAAAAAACGATTTGTGGGAAATAAAAAAAAGGTTAATATCTTTTACTTTTATTGTTAAAAGTTAGTTGATATAATGCAGAAATGTCTACTGGTCTACCTTCTGATCGTAAAGTGTGATGTGTAGGCATGTGGTGGGTGTAATGTAATAATTCTGCCCTGTCTACATAATTGACTCCAACCTTTGTATGTCTTATCACAATTAATGATAATGCCAGAGATTGGCAGACCATTTCATAAACCTTTAACCTATATTCCTGACTCATATGTATGTCAAAATGAGTCATAGCATCACGGAAATAATGTCTTCTCCTCAAGTACAGCGCAAGCCCCATTGATCATGAAGTCGTCTGACAGTAGTATTGTTTTAAATCCCTAAGATGAAAAGGCAGAGATAGTCCGTATCGATGGCAACACTACATCAAAACAACAGGAGGAAATCTGTCTGTAGCAGAACGAGCCATAACTATGAACATGAATGAATGACCTTGAGCCACACAAAGACGCTTTCATCTCGTTATCTCGACAGTAAGGAATGAAATAACATTAAAAGTGGAATTCCTAAGCAGAATACATTCCTTGTTTCTGAGCAAAGGTCATCAGGGTCGCGAGATTTTCTCTAGTGTAGGTCATCAAAAAAGGCCTGTTAATGTCCATATGTTATACCTGATGAAAAGGAAAGTTTTTGTATATGCCGCATTCAAGTCAAGTCAAGATTTTTGGAATTTCCCAGATGCTTGCCCATAATTACAACCTTCCTGTGTTCCAGTGGCCCGGCTTGGAAAAACCAGGAAAGAACCATGGTTGCCAGCAACATTTAAATACACTTACCCCTTCTCACAGCTGCTATCACGTCATTTACAGTGTAGTGAGTGCCACTTTCCATTTTGAATTTACAGCTATTTAGTTACTTCTTTGCACCAATAAAGCTACTTTTATCAGAATCTCATGACAGGCTGCTTGGTCACTGTCTAGAGTTTAATGTCTTCACACTTTTTTTTTAACTTGGATGTAGTCGTGAATATTTATAATGGACATTATTGTAATAATCTAAGTGAAAACAATGTAAAAAGAGGTAGCTTGTAGAGAATGAAGCCCAGAATATGCAGCTTTAAAAAGGGGGCTGCCCACTTGTATTGTTGGAGAAATCACTTGTTTTGCAGTGCATACGAGTTGTTTAGCTTTTTGAGAAGAGTTTTGACATAATTAAGACCAATCAACAAGAAACCAAATACTGGGAATCTACTGTCATTCATTATAAGTCTTGAAAACTTATATACAGGCAATTCCACATTATATAAGCTTAATATGGAAGGGCATAACACTACCTCTCACTTTCTGTATGGTGTGACATAAAGTACACGTTGTATACTCAAGTTAAAGACCAGTTAGTCAGTCATGGTGACAGCAAAAGCACTAACTCAGCAAATGCCTCCAATCATCCACTCGTGAACACTTGAAACGTGCACTACTGTACACACCACCACCGGCTACTGAAGGTGACAAGGCCATTGCACTTTGCCCAGCCTTATCTCCCTTCCTGCACATTCACCTTCATCTTTCAACCTGTTAAAACTACTGAACTCTGAGAACGACCATGTAGGCATATAAAAAGCAAAAGTCCATCTTAAAAATATAAAATCAATCTTCATTACAGTCAAATGGACATTAAGTATTACCAGAAAAATGACCATGCAGTAAAGTTGAACTATACCTCCTACAGTTAAGAGTCTATGAAAGGGAGTCTTAAGACAAAGAGCCCTTAATACTTCATTGATTCATGCACATTTCTATTTTGGGGAGAATATGAGCGGAAACACATGCTGTGATGACTTCCCATTTCCGAACTGTCTGCCTGTGCCCAGCAAGCTTTCGATCAGGTGTGTGTGTGTGTGTGTGTGTGTGTGTGTGTGTGTGTGTGAGAGAGAGAGAGAGAGAGAGAGAGAGTGTGTGTCTGTGTGTATTAGGGACTGCTTACTCAGCAATAGCAAAAAGAAATAAGTTAAGAAGACGCCTTTAAAAAAGTTAGTATAGACCTCATTGACATGTCACATAATAAGCATTTTGCAAAGGGCCTCAAACCAAATGTCACATATACATTTAAATAGAACAGTTTTGTTTTGTAACTTTATAACCACAAAAGCAAAGGTTGGCTCCTGTTACACCAAGCTTTGGTACAAGTTAACCCAGTAGTTAAAATAATGAGGTAATGCAACATTTGTGATCTAGCTCCCCTTAAAATGACCCTATGGACTTAATCTGGAGCAGCTAAAACGGATGTGTCTTTTAATAAACACAGTCTGACATGTGTCTTTATTTGTGTAAACTGCCTCAGTGTTTTTGTATCATGTATCCCGCTTTAAAAATTGGTCATAAACAAGTACTCACCATTTCACAATCCGGGAAAGTCACCAGGAGAGCAGCAGGTCACAGCGTGTAGGAATCCCCGGTGTTCAAAACAAGACACAAATGGAAAATGAAACAAAACATGAACTGAAATGATACATTAACGTGTCAGTGAATGGAAACTACCTGTAAAACAGTGTTAACAGCCGCTAAATCTGACGTAATGCTGTATAAATCATGCAAAACGCAAGTTAATATACAGTCCAGTAACCGTATTGATATAGTGAAGTTCAAGCGCAGAAAACAAGTGAAACACTTTACCTGATTTTTATAAGAAGTTAAAAACTCCTTTAACAGCAGAGCAGTGTGTGAGTTTACCGGAGACCCGCCGTGGGGATTGTCCAGTTAAAAAGGAATAGACACCTGTAAGCGCCTGCTTTGGAAAACATTCCCAGACCAGATAACCCCGCCCCTCCTGCCTCAGAAAAACGGCCCGTATAGTACTCTGAAACAGACACGCCCAGCATGACGACACCAGCAGCATACAGTCCCAGTGCCACCTGGTGGAGGCTTTTCAGAAAGAAGGGGTATGTTTGATAATAATCTGTGTCACATGACCACCAGATGGCCTCGTTAGGCTGAGCTACATTGAGATGCTTCATGATAGCAGAGGTTCCTAAAGGATGACTTTTTAACTGAACTAGCAATGTTGACAATATCTACCACAAATAAGTAATCTGAAAGTCAGTGGTGGTGGAACATATTCAGATGATTTACATAAATATAGGCTACAACATTACCAGTAAAAGTGATGAAATAAAACGGAAAGTATACAGTTAGCGAGCATATAGTATCCTATTAGATTCATTTACAGATGTTTAAATCAGCATTCAGATAGTCAAGGTTGAGTTTATTGAACTATTTGTATTTAGTCTTATACTATTGAGTAGTTTAAACCTGTAACAAACATTATCACATAGTCTACACTCAGTTGACATTTTATTAGTTACACTAAGCTTAAACTAAAGCTGTCCGATGTGGCAGTCTTGCAATAGATCCTTTCATTCTGCATGAAGATTATACAGTTCAGTTTTGGTAGTAAATATTTTATGTTGATTCAACTTTATGTTACTGCTTCATTAAGGTATAAACTATTGTTAGACCTAAGCTATATTTACCTTATTAGTAGGCCTACTTAAGTGTATTTTGCGTTTTAGCCTGCAGTAACTACATTTTGAATACATGTATTGGAGTTAAAAGTGCATTTTTTCCAATTGAATTATATTTGGTAGAAGTATAAAATAGCATACATGTAAGTAAGTTAAGTAATCTCGAAAATAAATTTAACGGGAATACATTTACTAAGTATGTGTATCAAGTGTTTACGTAACAAACTTGGTGTGATATGCAGATGAGGCACATACAAACAGGTCATAAAAGAGAACAACCTTAATAAATCATGCAGAAACACAATGAATGCAAATGTTTACAAGTCACAAAGGGTAAAAAACACATGTGAATCACACAGTATGTTTTTGCCTTCACAGACACCAGATTAGAAGTCCAATGGTACACTTTTGGAGTAGTTTTCACTTTTATGTATTCAGCTGGGTTTTCAGTGGGTGTAATGGCTTCTAACACATTATCGCTCTTCGACATTAACACCTGGAAGCTGCCGAAGCGTAATCTGCCGGCAACTTTGCAGATCCACTAGAGCGGTTGGCCTTGCTCGAGGCCATCTTGTTGGTACACTTTTCCAACCCTGACTTACACAGGGAATTGGTCTGACAAATTTCCGGTAACAAGAATATGTCTCTGACCTTTAGGACACCACTGCCAAAATCCATCATCCATCTGAATCAGCAGATAAGCCTCTGCTGATATGATATATGTTGTATTACTTGAAGGAAGCTCATTATTAAAAAGACAGTTGTAAACGTCACTTATAGGTCAGTAAGCACAGACAGTGTAACATCAATACCACTGCAGTCTTTCCCAGTAATGAGAAGTGCAGAAAACAAAATCTATACCATCTGCAGGTACGCCACACACTTAATCAATCAGAGTCCCACAGCTTTTCATCTTTTCATTTAATTTTTCTTAAACTATATGGAGCAAACAAACAAACTTTTTTGCAATGGCTGTATTTTATCTTATATCACACAAGGAAACCTGTGAGACCCGACAGGAGGTGTTACAGTTAATTGTATTCAACCATGAATGCTTCATATAAACAAGTGTGAACATTGGGAAGACCTTGTCATCAAGGTCCCGCTCCTAAACCAAACGTCTACCTGAGATTCAATTCAGTTCACCTATGTACGTGGTATTCACATAACAATGTAGAGAAACAATTCTAGACTATTTAGTTTTCTGTGGCATGTTTTAATGCTACAGGACAACATGTCAGACAGTAGTTCTCAGTGACAGTTTTGGCAATACTACAAGCTACAATGTTTGCCCTACTGTTATAGAAAAGAAAAGTTAAAATCCATTAGATCATATTTTCTTTTTTTGATACAAATCTTTACTAAATCTTCTTACAAGTCTTTAGTATTGCTCTTGCTACATTGAAAAAATAGAAAAATTACATCTGAATATTGAGCTGTGGATGTGGTATTTATAAAGAGCTGTGCTCTTGAGTGTTCATGGCTATGTTTCAATAGTCCTTAGCTGCTTTCTCTCCACGTTTACGTCCCTCTTTAACGGCCAGCTTCCCATCAGCAACCAGAGAAGAAGGTACCAAGCAAAGAACAAGACATCAAAACGTTTTCAGAGGCTCATCAGCAGAAACATTTATCTATGATTCTGCAGAGGTGCTGGGTGTCACCAGATCGTCCTCTCCCTGAGCGTCTCCCTCTGCTGCTGTGTCCGCTGCTACTTCCTGTTCGATGGCCACTAAAGAAGTGTCTATGTCGGGGGCTTCGAAGGACTCCCCCCCCAGGTCAGCCAGTTTGATGTAGCCCTTACTGTTGGAGCGCTCCAGACGAGGGCAGCTGAAGCGTCTGGCCCTGTCGCCCTGACGACCCCCAGACACCGACAGGCTGCAGCGGCGCACCGGCCTGGGCTGATCTGTAAGGGAGGTTAGCGACAGCTGTGACCCTATCGCCCTGGCAACAGGTGACGGAGGAAACAGCTGGGTCCACTGTCCTTGATCCTCAGCCTGCGGCACCCCCTGTGGGTCAGACATATCCATGGTTATGTCCTTGTGGCTCTGATGGGGCAGTGGGGGTGGATCTGCCGCCGAGGCGTCCTTCTGCTCGCCATCAGTCTGGCTGCTGCTGGCTTGTACTTCCTCAGTTTCCACAACCGTCTCAATAACCACCTCCTCCTCCGAGTGTCCCTCTGCCTCCGCTCGCTGGGACTCCACCTCACAGTTGTTCAGTTTGATCACAGGGAGGGTGAAAGCGTTCACAGAGGAGGTGACGATGGAGGTGGTCTCCCACTGTCGGGGCTGCGGAGCCTGCTCGCTGCTATTGCTGTAGTCCTTGTAGATGCTGTAGACCGTTTCGGTGAAGGTCTGAACATCTCTCGACCAGCTCTGAGGCCTGCTGGCCAACGACGGGCGTCTGAACACATCATCGCCGCTCACCTCGCCCTGTAAAGCGAGTCCAGTGGAGGGCCAGGAGCCGCGAGTAAGCATCCCGCTAGCAGGGAACGTCCCCGACGGGCCCTCAGCACTCCTCGACTGAGTGTAGTTCACCAAACCATTAAGAGGCGAGTACTCCTTCGACCGTATGCTGTGTAGATCTATGACGGTGGAGTAGATATCCCTCAGGTTGATTATTTTGGTTTTCTTGTCTCGGTTTTCATGGAGGACTGCATTGGCGCAGATGAAGAGGAAAATGCCGATTCCCATCACCAGTGGCCCGAACACTTTCAGATTGTCCGAGTACAGGTAATTATTCAGGAAGTCACACAGGAAGCCACAGTTACGGGAGGAGTTGGGGGTGCTGCTGTTAGAATGGCTCTGGTTTAATAAAGTTGTCTGTACTGATGGAGGGCTATCATGGGTCAAGTTAGAGGGAGCAGGTGGACTTTTGGAGTAGCTCATCCTGTTGGATTGGTATCCTCCTGTTCGGCGGCGCTCCTGGTACTGCTGCTGGCTCTGACTGGGCCAGTATCCCAGCACCGCCATGGAAATCCCCACCATGAGAACCGCAACTCCCACAGCAGCAACAAAACCGGCCGGCGAGCACAGATTGAGCTTCCCTTTTACCACCACCACGTCGTTCTTCTTCTTTTTCTTGGATTTCCGCTTCCTTTTGTTTTCCGCCCGGTTTTTTGAGCGGAGGGAGTCCTGGCGCCTGTTCATGCGCAACAGGCCACCTGTGGCTATCATGGTGGAGATTGGACAGCAGGCTTGTCACTCAACCTGGCGGGACACAGAAGAGACAAGAGAGAGCGTCGGGTTAATGATTTACAGGATAAGAAGGTTCAGACATTTAAAGCTGCAGAGTTAATATGTTCATTTCACCAAGAGATTACACATTTAATCCAGGTTTATAATACATACAAGGCTGGATTATCAACCAGGCAGAGCTTTCAACCACCCCTCAGGGACCATGACACCCCCAAGTTCATTGTGTGACAATTAGTCATGTAATATACACCACTAAAATAAAATGTTAACTTAATAGTTGAGCGCTTTAAAGCTCAGGTGGGAAATGTAACCTAGAAAAAAAAATCCCTTTTTGCTAGATACGAAGAGCAATGGGTCCAACATGAACGCATATATTTGTGCCACCGTTAAAGTTTGGGTATTTACATTATAAATTGCTCAGGTACGTTCTAGCACCAATCATGACTTAGCAACATTTAAATATTTGGACATTCAGTGGATTGTTCGTAAATCTGTTCAGATGAAACAGCGCCCACAGAGTCCTGATGAAGCAGTTTCTGAAGACTTAAAACCTAGAGAAGTTTTTTCAGTTTGTGTTTTGTGCTTTTTTTGTCATAAATATTTAAATGTTATAGAAAAATACAAGCCAAGTTTGGAGAGTTTTTAATATTCCAACGTGGGAATAGTTGCTGGTATCAAGGCAAAATGGATTAGAAGGAAATATTACATTGCATGTCATTTGTTAGACGCTTTTATCCAAAGCGACTTACATAGATTCAGTACTGTGGACAATCCCCACAGGGGCAATTTGGGGTGAAGTGTCTTGCCCAGGGACACAACGACATGCTGACTGCAGTGGGACTCAAACTTGCTATCCCCTGATTCGAAGTCCAGCACACTGAGCCACAGTCGACCAAATATGAGGGCATAGCATCTAAAAGCAGGTTAAACATATATCCAATAATATCCTACATGTAGATTTAACCAAAGAAGAAGAAGATGCAACATTAGTAATGAGATGGTCAGTAAAACAACAAAAACATCTATCTACTGCTAAATCTATAAAAACAATGATGTAAGCGAAACAGAGACAAATAGCAAAGTTGACAGCAGAGTGCTATTTATCTATATTCAGCTGTGCCGGTGCGATATCAGCCTATGAAAATGTAATGTGTCCAGACAGGAGGCCAGCAGGCATGTTCTCTCCACCTCACTCTCGCTTCCTTACTCTCTTTTCCTTTCTGCCTCTCGCACCAACCTCTCCTACCAACACTCTGCCTCCTGCCGTCTGACCAAATCTACTTCACCATCGACAAAACAGAGCCGTGCTTCAAGATGACAGTGTCCTTCACAAACAGAACATCACATTATAAGATATTTGTTTACACAACAACTGAAATGTATTTATTTAGTATACAGTGTGGAAACAAAAACAAAGAAAACAGAATGACAAAAACCAAATCAAGTCACAATACAACCAAAATAAAAGACTACAACAATGTAAGATATACATTTGGACATAACCACTATATGGCCACAGAGAAGCCATGAGCAAATAAGTTTGCATAGCAATACAATAAAAATAAAAACATAGTGTTTTGTGCGTGTCAAATTATCAATAGCACGTACAATTCACAGCAAAATAAGAATACAAAGCATTGTTAAACATTTGAAAGGAATGTAAGACTCGTATGGTTGGTGGTAAATTGTGCCTGAAGGAGCTTTGAACATAAATGGCCTTTTACCTACTGCTTTGGATGAGGGAGTGGAATAAAAGTATTATACTGTAGGACCTCAAATTAAATGGGGAGGTCTGTGGTAATAACTGTAGATAATGCGGATAGTTTTGATGTTGACACTTAAACAATTATGTGTTGAAGCCAATCACAATCATAGCATCTCTACCCTATAAGATGTTTTCTGATTATGCAGCACAATGGGCGAAGCTGCGGTCCAAAGGGCAATGAAGCCACCAACACTCATCATGATTAAAGACATCTGCTGATGAGTTCCAGCCACATGTGGTGAAAGATAATCGGGGGATAAGGCTGATTAGTTACACAGACTTCAGCATTCCCTACTTGATTCTGCTGGTAGCTAGGTATTTAATTGGACTAATTAGGCCTAATTGTGTATGATTTAGGGCTTAGGTTCATGAATAACTTATTGCACAAATTCCCCTCAGAGCAGCCATTATTGAGACGTTTACAAAGGTTGCTCTGGATGTTGCCCTCACAACCCTAACAGTCAAAAAAATAATGATGATGGAGCTCCTTGACATCCCCTTTTGAGTTAGGCTATTACAGGCAGTTCTGGAGGAAAGTGGAACATTGAGCTCTTCACCTGAGCTTCAGCAAACACCACACCGGTGCTCAGCTGCTGTTTATAGCGACTTTCTCAGTTTATCACATCCACATAGCCACTCAAATGCCTCCCGGGCGAGAGAAAGTCAACCACTAAAACTGATACGCGTGGGCGGACCTCTCTCTATGTTTGGAAAGAGAAGGGCAGCAGAACCGTGGACGAGACGTGGGTGTGGACATGTCAGTGGTTGTCTGTGGTGGTGCTGAGCAGGAAGCTGCCAACTCCGTTTGTCCACTAAAAAGCTGCTCGTCTGGCAGGATGGAGACTAGGAAGGAGGCCCGTTTAAACGCTCAGTCCGTCCAAGCTGCGGGGGCGCATATTTTTCGCGCAATGTTGCATGAGTAATCGACTGTTGACATTACAACGCATCTGTTTCCCTTCTGTTGGACAAACCCGTGAAGCAAACATACGAGATGCTGTGGAGGTGCCCTGAAAATGTCCAGAACCACAGCGACGCGATCTCTCTCCAGCACAAAGCCAAACACTGTTTTTCTTTAGGTTCACATGGTGCAGACAAAATGACAAACATCCACACCTCTTCCACGGCCTGACGAAGCCCATGCTTTCAACTAACGCTACAACTAGCGGTGGGGTGAAATCTACACCTTTATTCTAACGATTAAATGATAACTAATTATAAATCGGTGTTTAATTGCAACAACAAAGCCATAAAAAGTTTAAGTAGATCTAAAATATTGCTATTTTTCCATTCCAAATCATGTTTTACTTTATGTATCTCGCCTATTATATATGATGCAGCTCATATCTAATGCAGACAGACATATCTCCATTAAACGGCAACAAAATCATATTTTTTACCTTACGGATAAAAGTGAAAAGGAATGGAGTGCGCATTGAAGTCCATCGCCTTCCTTACATCAAAACTATTGCCTTTCGGTTTATTCTAGATAGAAAATAGGCTACTCCTCAACTAAACCTATCTGTTACACAATTAAAGACTCCATAAACCCTGGCTCGATACAGCCTGTTAGGAGTCTAGTAGGAAATAAAAAAGAAGCCCGGATATGCAGCTGGGGGAAAAGACGATGGATGAGAAAAAAGATAAAACAGCGTGGTCTCTTACCAGAAATTGTGCCTCGATAATCAAGCATCTTCAAAGGCGCACTCCTCGTTCAGCTACATGTCGTCGTGCGCCACTTTGGTGCCGAGTGTGGAAGAGTGCTTTCCAGCTGAACGCGGACTCACAATAGACCGGCAGGGGCGGGCCAACTGCATTTCCATTGGTGGTGATTATTGGGCAACGTGAAAAAAAACAACCGAGGGCTGCTGAGGACATTAATCATACTCTTTATTATCTACTCCTACCGCTTCCAGATATTTTTGGGCAAAAATAATCAGTAACCTGCAGAATTCAACTTGATTCTCTTTTATACAGATGCCAGTTGCATTTGGTGTAAAATGATTGCAGAATGGTCTTGTAATTAGTGTTGCAGCAATGAAAAATGCATGCACAGGGTATCTATTTACATATGCATAGGCTGAGAAATATGTGGAATATACAATGTTTGAATAATTTAGTGTTTTATGAGTTTCAAATTGCACATACAGTGTAGGTAAGGTGGGAAATAAATATATTTAAATTCAACAACATCATCTTTTACACCATATTCCTCTCCCCACCTTTCCCCCCTGGGGTGCGTTGCTATGATTGCTTGTATGCTGAGTCCCCATGTTCAACAAAATGAGATATGACAGAGTCCAGATGTGTTCCAGTGATATGTGAGAGCAGAGATATCAGCCGTACACTGGCAGGAAGGGGAGCCTGAATTGCAAAGCTGATGCTCCAGAGAGCTGACTGTGAATTTATGACCCAGAAATGTGTTTTGTTTATGGCATGAATTAGAAGCAACAGAGAAAATAGTGGTGCATGATGCAGCATTGGAGTCAAAGTAGACACGGACTTTGGGAATAATCCCTGGGTTTAATCCATGGGGTTAACCAGTGCTGTGTAGGTCTGTGGGCCTGGAGCAGATTTAAGTAGGCTATAGCTTTAAGCTTTACAGGAAGAAAACTGACACACAGCAGATGTTTCTGAGCTTCTGACAGGAGCTTAAACTATCTTAAAACTCTGTTACAGCGAAATAATATTTCAAATGATGTTGTTCTAAGATGTCTATAAGAGAAAGGCACCAGACACTATTCCAAAATTAGTGACTGAGATTGGTCATTTAAACAGCCTGTTGAAAAAAGATTAAATATATATTCTACTGAATATAGTGCTGGTGGAAGATTAACTGTCCTGTCTAAATGTCCTTGTACGGTTATCTATTTAAATAGCTGCTGAGAAGCAACTCAGTGCCAACAATCTTAAATTTAATATCATTTTATACATTAGACTTTCTAAATATAAACTTGGAAATAACCTCAATTTTAGCTTCAGAATCGCACCACATTCCCAGCAGTACCACTCATCTGCACCCCCACCATCTCATATTCAAGAGGTTACTTTCCCTCAACAACTCTTGATTCCAATCACTAATCAGTTCGAGAGCATACTCACAGATTTACAACAAGTTTAGCCTGACATCATTTCTACTTCCTCTGTGTTTCAAACTATTTCACTTTGCCACCCACAAACCAGGTCTTGGATTCTCTGTTGACAATGTGCTTTGTGCCAAAGACATTTCTGCTTAATTAATAGATAATATTAAATAGGAGGAAACACAACTTAAATGAATTAGTCTCCACACAATGTAGGGCGATTGCGAAATAATCAGGTTATTGGCAAAGACGCTGCTATGCTAAAATATTCACATTATTGCCATCTAATTGTAATGCTGAGTAAAGTGAAAGAGTCCTGGATTATTGCAGAAGCTGCAAAAAAAAGACATTCATTTCTGCAGACTTCACAACTTGGCCTAATGACTTTACCGTTTCATATTTAATAATTTATTATCAAAACATCCCCAGGTAATTAAGCTCACCTAAAGCATTGACGAAGTGGGTATTCAGAATATGAAGAAACGAGAAAATATTAGTAGGAAAGACAGAGTAAGAGTGACTGGAGTGATTCTGAGCTTTTGTCAAGTCACACTCGACTAATACTAAGTCTTTCATCTTTGGGATGGGTATTCCCGGCCAAGCTGCAGCAGTAATTCAATAATTCAATTTAATCCTCAGTGATCATATCATATCTGTCACAGTTATTTAAGACACCACTCTCCCGTCCTGTCTGCCTTGAATAATGTGTCTCCCATACACAGTTCCTATACCATTTTATGGTGCTCATCAAAGTGTCGATCATCACTCGCACATCCAACTGCAAGGTGACGGCACAGTATGGCTCACATAGTGTCAAAAATAGTTGATCACCTTCTGAAATCTACCCGTCTTTTTTTCTGACTGTTCTGTATCTGCACAGCTGGAACATGAGAAGGCATTGGTTTTGCCCTCTAGCTTATTTTACTTGTCAGACACTCTCTCTGTGTGCAGTATGGTGGTTCACAGCTAAGCGAAATATCTGAAGCAACATCAGGAGCTGCAGGCGGCTCATTTAATTTCTTAAGCCTGGGCCGGACTGGCTGATTGCTGGATGGTGAAACTTTGGAAAAAGGGCTCCAAGTGAGATCAACGCCCTCCAGGAAATATCATTACTGTCCTGTTTTGATGCAGGAGTCAGAGGGCTTTAGAGTTAAAGAGATACAAGCCGTGCTCCATTTTGAGGCCTAAGAAATAAAGACACAGTAACTGAGAGCTGTTACAGATTTAAGGGGACCATCCGTTAAACTAAAAACAAGTTCTCTGCTATGAGTTACTGTGGAGTGAAAAATCTGCTTTCTGACACTATTGACGTGCAAGCAGTGCAATCAGAAAAAGGCTTTCATTACTTTTATGTTTTCCTTACTGCCAACAAATCAAATAAAAGGACCAACACCCCACAATGCATTGGTCTCTCAATATGATAAGATGTGGCATGTAGACTGGGGCCCATTGCTCCCTGCACCATTACTCTTTAAAAATAATGTCAACGTTTTATTTTTAAAGAATGCTTAGTAATTGTCTCAAGCTACTGGGCATTGTAGTTTTAGTAAAAAGCTACTCTAACAGGAATGGATATAATATTTTAAAAAGGGACTATATCCAGCTGCGGATTGATACACATTTGGGCTAGGGAGTATTTAGTCGACAAAAAAAACAACCTACAGTGACCTTGTGCATCATAATGAAGGAACATGTAACCCAGTGCAACAGTGATGTTTGTTGATGGTTTATAGAAATTAATGGAGCTCTGTAGCTTAGATGAATAGGACATGTCAAGCTTTCGGAAACACAGACAATATTGTCAGTGTGACTTAGTTTTTTTTATGGCATTTGTTGACATAAATACAAATATATAATATTACCAAACCTATCCTTTATCCCACATTTGTTTTACCTCAAATATTTTACAACCTGGATGCTAGAACTCCATACATTTCCCAAAGGATCACACTATGGACATAAATCACCACATATGCTATCAGTGCGCAAAATAGGGTCATGAAAAAAACTATAAATAAATCATTATTCTTCACCTAACCAACATTCTAAAGAATAAACCGAAATGAATCAAACACACTCACATCAATCTGTTGACCTCCCGTTATGGGCCGAAGCTCCACAATGATCCTAATCTTGCCCAATGGCAACCCAACAGCAGAATGGAGGACCTCCTCATAAATCACACCCAACTAACCATCGCATGCACCATCGCTGCTCGGGTACCTCAGGGAAAACACATGCTTGTTTGATGAATGACCATTAGGGATGCTTTCTGGTTGTGGCTAATGAGATGAGATGACCGTGTTGCGACTGATACAGGCCATGGAGACATATGGCATTTCTGCACCATGTATTATGTTCGGCAGCTTGCTACATCACGTGGAGCAACTGGAAATGGAACAAACCCCAGGTTTGAGCAAATACACGGACCAGTAAACAACAACAACAGAGAAATAATCATTGTGTGGTAGTGGGGGGGGGCTGAGAGTGGAGAGCAACTGGTGGACACTTGCTCCCAGCAGGTAGCCTGTTCCCATTGGTGACCTTGTTTCATTCCCACGGTCGCATATCATCAGCTGGTAACACTAATGGGAATTCATGGGTCAAATAAACATGTTGCTGTATTGGAAGATTGCCCCTCATGGAGAACTCGGACACCTCTTAAGTTGTGCGAAAGTGTGCCAAAATAAAATGTATAAATTATCTTATTCCTCAACTTTCTCTGAAGATGCTTATGAGGAGGATAATAAACCGTAATGAGCAGAGTCTGCATTATGACAAGAACGGCGACTAATTACAAACCTGAACATCAAAATCTGTGTTCCTCCTAAACTGCAGGATCATGAGCAGCTACAAAGAAATAGTTGTTTCCACTGTTTAGCTTCATGGCCACATTTCGCAGTGCAGCGAGGCAGTTGTGCAATCAGAGCTGATACTCAGGGTTTGTAAGATACAAGCTTCATGGGATCTCAGTAAGAAAAGTCTTCTTTGATCTCCCATCCCAGATAATATAGGTCATCTCTTCAGGGAGAGACAACAAAGACCAAATGAGGCAGAAAATAACATTCAACCCACCTCGGTGGAGCAAGAGGCAAATAGTCCCTCCGCTGCTTTACGGACCACAACAAATAGCCCCATAGAGGTATTTTAAGGGTCTTGATCTTTGGTATTTTTACCACAACGGTCCATCAGCGTGTGAGCCTACAGGAGAAAAAAGCATTTTTGTAAAATAAATTAGGAAATAATGCATCTGTCATTTCCTCTTCTGCTGCCTGCATGTGGAGCCTGTTCAGACTGGGTATCCATGGCAACCGTTTTATAATGCCTCGCGAAACACCTTAGAAGAGGTTTCTTTTATCTGTGGTGGGACAGGGGCAGTGGAGAATCAAATGAAAGGGCAGAAGTGATAGCTGACGGGGTTTGTACACAGGATATTTTTGTATAGCTTCTGAGACTCGCCCCCCCCACCCACTGAAAATACGTGACTTGCAAAATGGCATAGGATGTGGGGGGAAACAGAAAATAGCTCACCCTGAGAAACAAGAGGAAATATGATGACATAAGAGATTGTGAGTTTTTGCAGCAGGGCCCAGGAAAACCCTCTTTTTTTGGGTTGCATAGTTAGAGATTTCACCACCATTTCTCGTGATTCAGTAGGACGTGCTGTCACTGACGTTCACTGTACAGGAGAGCATGGTCTGCAAGTCCTGGAGGACGAGTCCAGTCATGTGGAACTCAGCAGGCGTGAGCATGATGGGAGGGGAGGAACAGCCAGCTGGGGATCTGCAGGGAAGAGCCAGAGCCAGAGCCAGAGCCAGGAGCTGACAGGCCAATCAGGGCAGAGCGCAGGCCTCATCCATGCATGCTAATCAGAGGAGCCCGGGCCGAGGGCATCTGCAGGGGTTCATTGCCATGGATACAGCAGCAGTCGCACAGTATTACCTGAGCAGGTGAACCAAGTGGAAGGAACGGGTGTCTTTGGCTGCGTGACCTTCACTTACGTCACGGCTTCTCTTGACTGTCTAACGCTGCAGGGTGACAAAGCAAAAATATTGACATTTTCTCGGTAGATAAAGCATTCGTTGATTAATGAAGAAACACACACATGAATATATTTCCATTGTTCTGTCTAAAGAAGCTGGCTAGAAAGTAAAGAACATTGGGAACATTGGGTCTGAAAACGAGAGGAAAACAGCAACACAGACTTAACTCGATGACTTTGGCTAAATAAGTCGTTCATCATTTCAGCACGAAGTGGATTTTTGGCCAGTTTGTCTCTTTCACAGCTCTAATCCTAATTGTATTTTCACAGTCTGACACACATGGACTATAGGTGGGTTGATGGGAGACCAGAATGTTTTTTGTTTTGGATAATCATAATGCTAAGTGAGTGACATTCTCCCACAACAAGGCCCCCCCTGACACTCACTCTTACCACCTTCACAGATGCCATGCATTACATAAGTGCAGATTATGTGAGAAAATCTTGTTCATTTTATAACTATGAACAGTACACACCTCTCTGTATATTTTGCACACTTCTGTTCAACGCTTTTAAATTCTGAACAGCTTTCCACTTTAAACTCAAATATTTGTATTTTTATGAGCATTTTCTTATACATTAAAAGTTATTTAATATTAATATATGAATTGCTTAGTTTTCTGTATATTTATATGTTGTGTAAATATTTCTCTTTGTTTGTGTATACTCTAATTGTTTTTATTTTAAATTAATAACTTTATTATTATTTATTTATTTATTATTATATATTATTAATTGCTTAGTTTTTAAATGTGTATCTTATGTGTACATTTGTATCTCTATTTTTCAATGTTCTAATAGTTGTTTTAATTGTTTTTATAATAGCTTTATTTGTTGGTATTTTACTTAATTCCTCTTACTGTGTTTATATGAACCATATCCACCAAAACTAATTGTATAAACCTACTTGGCAATAAATCTGATTCTTATTCAACAACATCAGTAAATGTAAATGTGGCTGCTGAGATAAAGGACTTCATTTGGCTTTTGAGAGTCATGCTGTGCATTTGACAATATGGACTATCCCCAAAATGATTTGCTTATTCATCTGAGTGACAACACAATCCTTTTCAGTGCATATGTTTAGCACATTAATGACTTATCTCCATCACACTCCCAGCTGTGTAGCAACTGGCTGAAAACGTATTTCCAATCAAAAGGGGTTTCATCTCGGTGGTCGACCTAACACAACCACTTTTGACTGCTTTTATCCGGAGTATCTTTGAGGTCATTCATCTTTTTATATGCTAATATTTTAATCAGCATTTCCCAATGAATTAAGGCTTGGCTGGGCTCGCACTCATTTGTGTTATCGGTCAAATTAACCTTTTCTGCTGGAAGGACAGTCGAAAAACTCTCCTCTTGTATTCAGAAGATAGCAGTTTATCCTCTGTAAATTGACTGAGTGATATGACTTGAGTAACGACATGCCTTTGGGGTTTCGGATTAGAAAATTCAGTTTAACCTTCAAGTTATATCATTCGTATCAGACCCAGGGAATAAAACAAATTAACCACAAATATGATTGTGACATCCCTTCAATACACAGGCAGCATTATGGAGATCAAATAAATATTGGTTATGCGTTATTCTCTTGTCTTTTCAGGGTAAGGGAGAAGTCACAGATCTCATCGGTACGCAATGTGTTTCATAATGGATCTTCTGTACTAAAGAGAAAGTAAGGGATAGGAAGAGACACAAAGTAAATGAGAGTAAAGTTTGAACAAGAGAGCAAAACTTATATAGGGCAATGTAATTAGCAGAGAAGCAAAACAAACATCAAAGGAGAGAATTATTTTCAGTCTGTTTATGAACAATTTTAAACCTACTTTAATTGAGTTTCACGCAACTTGGAGTAGCTAAACAAACTGTAAACATGACTCTGACAAATCATCATCCCATAAAGCTGATAAGGCAAAGGTTGTGTCAAACAGTTGAAACATCCAGCAGATACAGAATACTGACATCTATTGGTGTTGTGTTTCTGGATAGCTGATGAATTGTAAGTCGTCAAGCTCTGTTATTGGTCTGCAGGGAAATATCTGGCTCTTCAGCTGCTAAATCCTCGTCATGTTCCCCAGCTAACTGTATCCGTCTGCAGTTTGGTGCTTGGCTGTTAGTGTGTTCGTTTTTTGTCAGATCTTCCGCTGAACAGTTGCCTGCTGCGTCTAGAAATGATGCTGATGAGAGTGGCAAGAGTCCAAAACCGGGACTTTAACTAATTTAGCTAAAATATGCTGAAAGAAAGTGAACTGCGGCGTCAGAAGATCTCGTCTCGATCAATCTCTACGAGCCACTTCTTCACATACACTTAATTATTTAAGTATTGATTAGAGCAGCTATCATATATTACCATACTACTGCAACGCTTACTTAGGCATTTGTATTCCCTGAGGACCTTAGGCCATCGGCAAAAGCCCTCCATCCCCCCAGTCTGTCGATCCAGTGGCT